CCTATGCCTTGTCCGATATAAGTTAAATCGCTCAACCCTCTTTGTCCGGTTTAATCTAATCCGGTCAGCATTCAGATGATTTAATATGTTTAAACTTTACCCRGTTGATAAGCTATAAAACATGAACAATTTATACAAATCAAARGAACTCATAAGAAATTTTAACCACTCACATTTGAATTCCTTTTTGAAAAACCTTCCTAAAATGCAGATGAGAACTTAATCCGATCAACCCCTTTCTCTTCCTTAAATCGCTCACTAAATTTTTGATTTGGCAAGAAGAATATGATGGAGACAAAAGCCCTCTTTATATACTTTTCTCAAAATAGGAAGGTCGGCTAACCACCTCTTTCACATGCATGCATACCTCATGTATTTATGAAACCCTTATTCATACCCACATATATGTATACCTATGCATACATACACATATATCATGCATGCATATATATATATACATATATATCATATGCATCTCACATATTTATTGCATACTCACTTATGCACATAATTTCACATATTTGCATAACAAAATATAACAATTTATCATACTGTCACATGATCATTTAACAAATAATCACATATTAATTACATCGGGTGATAACTAAGATCTGGTCATCACATTATCCACCCCTCAAAAGAATTCCGTCCCGAAATTCCTTTAATCAAAGAGCCATGGGTATTCTGATCTTATTTTTGACTCCAATTCTCAAGTCGCTTATGGTCCTTTGTGAAACTTCCACTGTACTTTAACCAGACTTATCTCTTTATTTCTCAACACCCTGATCTTTTGGTCAATCACAGCTTCTGGTGATTCCACAAAGTTCAACTTATTGTCCAATTTAACCTCTGGCAGCAGTACAGCTAAACTTGGATCAGCTAAACATTTCCACAAATTCGATACGTGGAAAGTAATGTGAATCAGACTTAGTTCTTCTGGTAGCTCTAACTTATACGCTAATGGCCCAACTCGCTTACATATTCTGAATGGTCCAACATACCTCGGACTGAGCTTACCTTTCTTTCCGAATCTGATAACACCTTTCCACGGCGAAACATTCAACATCACAAAAAGCACCTGCACAGAATTCAATCGGCTTTCGACGATTATCAGCGTAACTTTTCTGGTGGTCTTGTGTTGTTTTAATTCTTTCACGGATCTGTTCAATCTTTTCAGAAGTTTCTTGGACAATCTCAGGACCCGTCAACTGCATTTCTCCTACCTCGTTCCAATACAACGACGTTCGACATTTATGTCAACACAATACTTCATATGGTGCCGCTTGGATGCTGGAATGGTAACTGTTATTATATGCAAACTCTATCAAGGACAAATGATCTTCCCACGATCCCCTGAAGTCAATAATACAACTTCTCAACATGTCTTCGAGAGTCTGGATAGTTCTTTCACTATGTCCGTCAGTTTGCGGATGATAAGCTGTACTTAATCGGATTTCAGACCCCAAAGCTTTCTGCAACCCTTCCCAGAACTTTGAAGTAAATCGACTATCTCTATCAGAGATAATAGATAATGGAACACCGTGCCTGGTTACAATTTCTTTGATGTAAATCCGTGCTAGCTTTTCTAAAGAGTAATTCTCTCTCATTGGTAGAAAATGCGCATATTTAGATAGACGATCCACAATTACCCAGATCGTGTCATACCCCTTTGGAGTTCGAGGTAAATTCATGATGAAATCCATTGTAATGTGATCCCATTTCCATACAGGTATCTCCAAAGATTGCAGGCTTCCATACGGCTTTTGATGTTCAATCTTAACCTGTAGACATGTTAGACACTGTTCCACATATCTGGCTATGTCTCTCTTCAATTCAGGCCACCAATAAAAAGATTTTAAATCTCTGTACATCTTATTGGTACCTGGATGAATAGAGTATTGGGACTTATGACTTTCATTTAATATAGTGTTCCGTATATTTTCAAAACACGGTACCTAGACTCGCCCTTGAAAGCACATTATTCCTTCGTCGTTCGGTTCCAATGTTGAGATCATCTTACCCAACCTTTCTATTTTGACAATTTCTTCTCTCATGGCTTCTTTCTGACATTCTAGAATTTCTTTACGAAGTCAGGGACCAAGTTCATTCTCATTGCTACAGCTTTAATAGTTCCGCTCTTTTCTTTCCTGCTTAAAGCGTCAGCTACCACGTTGGCTTTTCACGGGTGGTAGAAGATTTCATAATCATAATCGTTTACAAGTTCAATCCATTGACGCTGCCGCATATTCAGTTCTTTCTTGCTAAACAAATGTTGTAGACTCTTATGATCAGTATAAATCTAACACTTTGTCCCCAGAAGATAATGCCTCCAGTTTTTCAAAGCAAATACCACTGCAGCTAATTCCATATCATGAATTGGATATTGTTTCTCATGATCTTTTAATTACCTTGACGCATAAGAAATCACTTTTCCTTTTTGCATCAAAACACATCCCAATCCCAACTTTGAAGCATCACTGTATACCACAAAGTCTTCGGATCCATCTGGTAGGGTCAACACCGGTGCACTGCAAAGATGATCTTTTAATAGCTAAAAAGCTTCTTGCTGTACTTTTTCCCACTGAAATTTAATGTTCTTTCGAATCAATTTGGTCAATAGACGACTATCTTAGAAAAGTCTTGAATGAACTTACGATAGTAACCTGCCAGTCCTAAAAAGCTTCGAACTTCAGAAGGAGTTTTCGGAGCTTCCCATCTTGCAACTGCTTCTATTTTAGCTGGATCCACCTTTACCCCAGCTTCGGATATGACATCACCCAGAAACTGAACTTCCCTTAACCATAACTCACACTTGGATAGCTTTGCGTACAACTTTTCTCTTTTCAGTAATTTCAGTATCAAACGAAGATGTTCTGCGTGTTCCTCTTTGGTCTTGGAGTATATAAGAATATCATCGATAAATACAATAACGAATTTATCAAGATATTCCTTACATACCTTATTCATTAAATCCATAAAGGTTGCGGGCGCATTAGTTAAGCCGAATGACATAACTAAGAATTCGTGATGCCCGTACCTAATTCTGAAAGCTGTTGTAGCAATGTCTTCCTCTCTGACCTTAAGTTGATGATACCCCGACCTTAAGTCAATCTTGGAGAAATAACTTGCCCCCACAAGCTGATCAAATAAGTCATCAATCCTTGGTAGAGGATATTTGTTCTTAATTGTTAACTTGTTCAGTTCACGATAGTTTATTGATAACTCTCATTTTGTGAGAGTTATTTATTGTTCAATACCCCTATTTTATTGTATCTTTGGTACCCATTTTGCTCCTATCTAGTATTTTTGGTCCAAAATATGTTAAGAGGTGATGGAAGGTCAAAAATTTAATTATTTTCTAAAAAAACCCATTACTGTTGGTAAAATGCCCACTTTCTGCTCACATTCATCTTATGGCGGATTTGCATCTAGTTGGATTTGAACAAAATTCTGATATTCATATTCTTGGATATTAATGAGATTTAATTCTAAGTTCAGATCAAAACATTGAGTTGCTTGGAAGAATGGACCTGGTTAAGTGATGAAAAGACATGAAAATACCTTTATTTTGATTGAAAAGCCTTCTTTTCATAATTTATTGGATTATTTTTACCTTTTGCAACCTTTCAAAGAAGTGACATGGCCAGAGATGAAGTAGACTTGTAGTGATGGGAGGTCCTTACCCTTTGGACAATGCAGATTTTTATCCCTTGGATAAAGGGTTTGTCCGGTCCTCACTTTTCCCTATATTTTGAAGACTTTCTCTCAATTGAAAAACATCCACTCCACCAGCAATTTAGCTAAGCAACCTTGGAGCATTCTCTCAAGCTTTACAGCAGTAGAGCAAATTTAATTTCTGCTTGTAATTTAATTTTTGTAGTTAGTTTTCATTCTCGCCTCTGTGTATTGTGTGCCCTCTGTGGGCAACAGTTTAAGTATTATTTTCATTTCAAGTATTTCTTATGTATTTTTCTTCTTCTGTTTCCCTTATGTTCTCTAATTTTATTATGAGCTAAACACCCCTTTGGGTGTGGGTGTGAGTCAAGCTTAAGGATTTAAGGGCACACTTGGGTGTTGCCATTTTTTATTGATTCTTAAGCTTGGTCATTTAAGTCGGAACTTAACTTCAATGCAGATAAGCCGATCACTTTGAAGTGTTAATATTAGATCCTTGATCCAGAGATGGGCGGATCTGAAATACGGCTTAGATTATTCACAAAGATTTGAGAGAGTCTTTGATAATCACGCAGAGATGCGGGTTTTGCATGTTTTTAGCTTATGTTCAGATATTAGTCGAGTTTATGCTACAATACGTTGTGAGTATAAATCTTCAGGCTAGTGGAACCATATATCTTTTTATCTAGTAGCTAATTCGGCAAGTTTAAGATTGATTTAACTAGACGCTTTGTGGGCACTCTGTGGGCACAGTATATAAGAATTCACTTTCGAGAGATAGGAGTTCTTATAGAAATCTCATGAGTTTCTGACCAAATTGTTCCTGCAATATTCTTAAGCAAAGCTTACACCCATACCCATCTTTTAATATTAAAGGTTTATTTCGTATTTTAACACTTTGCACCAATCAAAACTCAGTTATTTTCTCAACCCGAAGCATTGTTCAAGAAGTTCATGAAAGTCTCTGATTCTCAGTAAGTCCGGTCCCTGTGGAAACGATCTTGGTACTATACCACTCTATTACTTGAAGCGATCTTAGTGTCGGCGTGCATTTGCACCGCCACTTTGGGGATTGTATGCCAACTGTGTGCACACTTACGATTTTTGCACACCAAGTTTTTGGCGCCGCTGCCGGGGACTGTTCGCGATTTTTATCCTGAGATATTGATTTTCATTTGAGCCTTAGTCAGTTGTTTCATTCGTTGTTCCTGTGTTGTATGCCACAGATACAACACGGTGATCTTTTACCTCTTGATATTGAGTTAGAAAGAACAATTAGGAGACGAAGAAGAGGTAGAAATAATCGGCGAAATCCCAACCGTACCATGGGGGATAATTCACCTCCTCGGGAAGCCATGGTTAATATTGCCAATGACAAAAATAGAGGCAAACTGGACTACGCAACTCCCGAATTTGGTCAATTGGCCTCGGGAATTGGTATACCCGAAATGACAGCAACATCTTTTGAACCCAAGCCGGTTATGTTTCAAATGATTTCCGCTATGGGTCAGTTTGGGGGATTATCTTCGGAAGATCCGCACTTTCATTTGAAATCTTTTATAGAAATGACAGATCATATTAAAATTCCCGGAGTTACTCAAGAGGCCTTATGCTTGACGCTTTTCCTTTATACATTGAAGGATAGAGCTAGAGCATGGCTAAATTCCCAACCACCAAACTCGATCCTTACTTGGAATGATTTGGCGGAAAAAATTCTAAAAAAAGAGTTTCCTCCGACAAGGAATGTAAAGATTAAAAATGAAATTATGGCGTTTCGTCAAGAAGAAGATGAAGCGGTATCGGATGCATGTGAGAGATTCAAGGACCTTCTTAGGAAGTGTCCTCACCACGGAATCCCTCATTGTATTCAATTGGAAACGTTTTATAATGGACTTTCTAGTGCCGCTAAGATTATTCTTGATGCAACGGCCGGTGGTGCTTTTACAGCTAAAACCTACAACGAGGGGTATGACATTTTGGAACGAATTTCTAATAATAATACTGAATGGTCTAACCCTCGTGCTGTCATTTCTAAATCAGCCTCGGGCATTCATGAGCTTGATGTCATTTATTCTTTGAATGCCCAAATTGTTGCTCTAACTAATTTGGTTAAGAATAATTTAAACTTGAATGGGGAAAAGAATCAAGTCCAATCCATAATGTCTAATTCTTCCATGACTGAATCTTGTGTTTTCTGTGGTGAAAGTCATTCTTATGAGTTTTACCCCGGAAACTCCGTTTCGGTAAATTATGTTGGAAATCATACAAGAAATAGCCCATTTTCTCCAACGTACAATTCAAATTGGAGAAATCATCCGAATTTTTCATGGACCGGAAATCAGGGACTTCAACCCCCCGGGGCAACTCAAGTCCAAAACCGACCTTCAAATCCCCCAGGATTTAATCAAGGCAGTCATTACATGCAAGGTAATAATCACATGCAAGGTAATCATCACATGTACCAAAGTGGACAATCTTCACAACCACATGCACCTAGGCAACAAAATGCATCGGAGGGTAATGGTTCACTCGAATATTTACTTAAAGTTTTTATAAACCAAACCAATGCCACCATGAGGAGTTTTGAGACCCAACTTGGTCAATTTGCCACGGATCTCAAGAATAGACCTCAAGGAACTTTGCCTAGTGACACGGAAACACCTAAGGAACATGTTAAGGCCGTGACTTTAAGAAGTGATAAGAACTTGGGAGACTCTAATGCCGAAATGGAAACACCTAGTGAGCCGATTTGTCAAGAAAATATTTCACATTTTTTTGACACATCGAAATTTTTAGTTCTGTTTCCTACAGCTGAAGAAGCTCAAATTTCAGTTTCTGTTCCAGAAACAGCAGCTTTGCCCAGTTCCAGCACCACCCAGTCTCCAACTGACACTGCTCACAGTGGGCAGAAACTGCCCACAACCCAGCAGAATAAGACCGATCCAACTGATTTAGATCTAAGAGATTTACCTTTTTCAGGCAGGATGAAAGCCAAAAATGTGGATGTTCAGTTTAAGTTCTTGGACATCTTTAAGCAACTCCACATTAACATACCTTTGGTAGAAGCTCTAGAGCAAATGCCAAGTTATGTTAAATTTTTGAAAGCCATCCTCAATAAAAAAAAAGAAGACTTACTGAATTTGAGACCGTGTCTTTGACAAAGGAATGTAGTGCCCTTCTTACTTACAAAATTCCCCCAAAGTTGAAAGACCAGAGAAGTTTCACCATCTCGTGCTCTATTGGAGAGAAAGAAGTGGGTCATGCCTTGTGTGACCTTGGGGCAAGTATAAATCTCATGCCTTCGTCCATTTTTAATCAGTTGGGAATTGGGGAAGTTCGACCTACTACCGTGACTTTGCAATTAGCGGATAGGTCCTTGGCATATCCGAAAAGTAAAATTGAAGACATCTTGGTTAAAGTGGACAAATTCATCTTTCCAGCCGACTTTCTAGTGTTAGATTATGAAGCCGATAGTAATGTCCCGATTATCTTAGGGAGACCCTTTCTTGCTACGGGTAGGACATTGATTGACGTACAAAAGGGTGAGTTGACCATGAGAGTAAATGACCAGCAGGTAACTTTCAATGTGTTTAAGACTCTTAAGTTCAATGGGGAGATTGAGGACTATTCGTCTATTTACTCAGTAGGTGAAGATTTAGATCTAAGTTTGATCGACTGTGCAGACAGTGGAGACACTGTGGGCACAGCAGAAGACATTTGTGAAGAAGACTTACTTGAGGACATAGCTGCCTTTGAACAGTTAGATTTTAAAGATATACCAACCCAAACCCCGTCCATTGTAGAAGCACCCGATTTGGAGTTAAAACCACTACCTTCACATCTTAAGTATGCATATCTTATGGAAGGAGAAAAATTGCATGTGATTATTTCTTCCAACTTAAGTGGTGAACAAGAGGAAAGGTTGATAGATTTGCTGAAAGACCATAAGAAAACTTTCGGTTGGACCATAGCTGATATTAGGGGAATAAGCCCGTCCCTTTGCCAACATAAGATCATATTGGAAGAAAAYAGTGTTGGAAAGGTACAACCTCAAAGAAGGCTAAATCCAATCATGAAAGAAGTGGTTAAGAAGGAGATCTTGAAGTGGTTAGACGCGGGTATTATTTACCCCATTGCTAGTAGCGGTTGGGTAAGTCCGATTCAATGCGTGCCTAAGAAAGGTGGTACCACGGTAATCACCAACGACAAAAACGAACTTATCCCAACTAGGACCGTTACTGGGTGGAGGATTTGTATGGACTATAGGCAATTGAACTTAGCTACTAAGAAAGATCACTTCCCTTTGCCTTTCATAGAGCAAATGCTAGATCGGTTGGCCGGAAAGGAGTTTTATTGTTTTTTGGATGGGTACTCGGGATACAATCAAATCCATATTGCACCCGAAGATCAAGAGAAAACTACTTTCACTTGTCCCTTGGGAACTTTTGTTTTCCGACGTATGCCATACGGCTTATGTAATGCTCCGGCCACTTTCCAACGATGTATGATGTCTATTTTTTCGGATATGATTGAGGACACTATGGAAGTTTTTATGGATGATTTTTCGGTTATTGGCACTAGTTTCGAAAATTGTCTTGAAAATTTGAAGAAAAGTTTGGAGAAATGTGAGACCCATGACTTGATTTTAAATTGGAAAAAATGTCATTTTATGGTACAAGAGGGAATAGTTTTGGGTCACATGATTTCAAAGAAAGGATTGGAAGTTGATAAAGCTAAAATTGAGGTGATAATGCATTGCCCGAACCTACTTTGGTCAAAGGCATTCGTAGCTTTTTGGGACATGCGGGTTTTTACCGACGGCTTATTAAGGATTTTTCTAAAATTACAAAACCCTTATGTAACTTGTTGCATGTTGATCAAACTTTTGAGTTCACCTCCGATTGTAAAAAGGCTTTCGAAATAATCAAGAATGCTCTTGTCTCGGCACCCATTATCATCACTCCCGATTGGTCCCTACCTTTTGAGGTAATGTGTGACGCAAGTGATTGGGCCGTGGGTGCCGTTTTGGGACAAAGGAAAAATAAAATTTTTCACCCCATATACTACGCAAGTAAGACTCTTATTGAAGCCCAATTAATTATACCACCACGGAAAAAGAGTTGTTTGCGGTAGTATTTGTTTTTGATCGTTTCCGTTCATACTTAATTGGTACCAAAATCACTATTCATACAGATCATTCGACAATAAAGTATTTATTTAACAAAGTTGATGCGAAACCACGGCTTATTAGATGGATTCTTTTATTGCAAGAATTTGATCTTCAGATTGTTGACCGAAAGGGAWGTGACAATCAAGTGGCCGATCACCTTTCTAGAATTGAGGAAAATGTATCAAGTGGGGGAGGAGATTAAGGAAGTTTTGCCGGATGAATTTGTTTTGGCCATACAACATAATTTTCAAAAACAAAATCCTTGGTATGCAGATATCTTGCATGTGGCCTTAAACCATATCATTTTCAGGGAAACCGGTTTAAAAAATTTCTTCACGATTGCAAGCATTATTTGTGGGACGATCCATCCCTTTTTAAATTGGGATCGGATCAAATTTTGAGAAAATGTGTCCCGGATGATGAAATCCAAGCTTTGTTAAAGGAATGTCACGCATCACCGTACGTAGGCCACTTTGGTGGACAACGTACGGCCGCTAAAATTTTACAAAGCAGATTTTTTTGGCCTTCCATATTTAAAGATGCTATTGAATTTGTGAAGAGTTGTGACCAATGCCAACGCATGGGGAATTTGTCCCAAAGAAATGAAATGCCCTTGAACAATATTTTGGAAGTCGAACTTTTCGATGTTTGGGGTATTGACTTTATGGGACCATTTCCCATGTCTTTTCACAACCAATACATTTTGGTTGCGGTAGACTATGTCTCCAAATGGATAGAAGCAAAGGCTTGCCCAAGAAATKATGCCAAAACGGTAGTGGAATTTTTGCATAAAAACATTTTTGTTCGTTTTGGAACACCCCGAGCATTGATAAGCGATGAAGGGACTCATTTCATAAACAAAGTGTTAAGTACCACTCTTGAGAAGTACAACATCCGACATAAAGTAGTCACGGCTTACCACCCGCAAACCAATGGTCTTGCGGAACTTTCCAATCGGGAAATAAAAAAATATTTTAGAAAAGGTGGTTAAGCCATCGCTTAAATTGGATGATGCGCTTTGGGCTTACCGTACCGCTTTCAAGACTCCATTGGGCATGTCTCCGTACCAACTTGTTTTTGGAAAATCTTGTCACCTTTCGTTGGAGTTAGAGTATAAGGCATTCTGGGCTATTAAGGAATTAAATTTAAATGCAACTCTAGCGGGAGAGAAAATAAAGCTCCAACTCAATGAGTTGGAAGAATGGAGGTACCAAGCCTACGAGAATGCCAAATTTTACAAAGAAAAAACGAAAATGTGGCATGATCGTAGGATCAATCAAAGAATTTTTGAAAAAGGTCAAAAAGTGCTTCTTTTTAATTCTAGGTTGAGGCTTTTCCTTGGAAAACTCAAATCTAGATGGTCGGGACCTCTCACTATTGTTGAAGTGGGAAAGTTTGGAACTATCGATCTTTTAAACCCACAAGACAATACGGTTTTTAAAGTGAATGGGCATCGGGTCAAGCATTTCTTCCCTGAAGGAATGCAAGATCCAAGCCAAAAATCTCTCTGAAAGATTGTCAAACCTTCTGTTGTAAATAGTGTAAATATTTTTTTTAATTATTGAACTTCTTGTTTATTTCATGCAGGTATGCTCACAGTAGGCATCTCGTGCTCACATTCTGAAGTGGGTTTTGGTTATTGTTTTTTAATATTGGCGGGTTTTTGTGGAATCTTCCAAGGAAATGAAAAAGGGAAATTAAGAAAAGAAATGGGTTTATTTTTGAAAAAAGTGATGATGATTTTTCTGAAAATGGAGGCTTGTGTAAGAGATTTGACTTGTACCATGACATCATTTTTTTCAAATCACTTGTCCTTCCAAAGGTTTTGCATGCAAAAGGGAACGGTTACCTACGTTATACCCATCGGTTATCTATGAAAAAGGTGGGAAAATCATTTTTTACTTCACTATTCATCTTCTCCTCTCTTCTCATGGCTAGAACAAGGAATAACCCAACCGGTCGGCCCCCTTATCGACCGCCTGCTCGCCGCTCTACTCGCCGGACCATCGCCGGCGACGCATCATCCGCCGCTCCAGTGGCAACAGCAGCCGGCTCGTCGATGCCTTATTCAACGCCCCTCTCGCCGGACCCCATTGCTTTTGCTCTGCCGGCGAGACATTCATCAACCGCCGGCGCCGGTCAGTCATCCACCGTGCGGGTCGACTACGACGAGTTTCATGCCGTCGTCACCCCGGTAAGCATCACTCAAACTCCTCCCCTATTTACTACTGTTTTCACCCCTTCCACCATTATTCACACCACCACCATCGGCCCCGGTCCGTCTACTTCACGACCGCCGGCCGCCGCAACCCTTCCCACGCCAAGACCTCTTTTCCTAGCCCTAACTGTACCACCCTCTATCACCCCTCTATCTAACCCCATCCCACCACCGATTAACCCTACACCCACTCAACAGCCTCCTATTCCCCTTCCCTCAACACCACTCGGCCCACCCACCATACACGATTTTGACCTAAACCTTAATGATACCTTAGGGGAGGAGTTTCATTTTGATTTTGAAGCCAATGCCTCCGACAATCCCGAGGATTTATTCCCTTTTTTCTGTTCCTGAGTCTTTAGACGAATCACCACAGCAACCCCCTGAGACTCAAACAGAACATGAACTTCCTGTTGAGGAAATACCAGTCACTGCCCCCAGTGGGCAGACTGTGAGCACAGAAACCTCATCAGGAAGTTTTGAAAGTGCAAGTTCAGAGTCTGTTATTCCTCCACAATTACCAAAACCAGTGCCTGAAGACAATGACTATGAGGATGAGATGGCCCAGGACTTAGAACATGCTGAAGATGTGGCCGAGGAAGATGAGGAACAAGAGCAAAGGGAGGATTTTGAAAAAGAAATTCCAGATGAGGAGGTTTTGGAAGTCAGTAAGCCAAAACCTTCTAAAAAGAGGAAGGTGGCAGGAAACCCCAAAGAAAAAGAAAGAAAAAGTGATGCATTTCATGAGAGGTACAACCGTATCAAAAATA